TCTTGCTCCTCTAAAGTGTGTCTTCATTGGTAGTAGGGTCTGCATCCCCATGGGGTCCAGTGGCTTTATAGTTCCTCCACTTAAGTGAAGGCATCTGTCCAAAAAGAGTCAGATGCCATATCATGGTGTTAACTGGGCATCTACTTTTCCTTCATATATTATTAAATGACTGGCTTAAAGTTTCTTTTATGAATATTATTGATGATGTCAAGTATTTAGACTTACTGGGTATATCTACACATGAAATTAATTCAACACAATAAACTCTGGGGCATTTTGTTCTGAAATTTATTGCTCCTGGGTGTAGCATTTACATGTGCACCTGAGACTGCTGCATGTTGAGCCTGTGTAGAGCATCCCCAGCTGGTAGGGAGCCCCAGGGGTCCGCTTGCCAGCCTGGGGCTGCTCCAACCTTGCTCCACATGCTGCAGAGTAGTTGGTGGGGTATGAGGGTGATACAGTGCAGGGCTAGCTGGCAGGCAGCCCCACACTGTTACACCCTTGTGCCCCAGCTAGCCCCAGTAAGCAGCTACACATGTATTGCAGTGGAGTAAATAACTCTACCATAGGATAATACTTGAAGGATAATACTTTCAACTCCACTGTTAATTAGTCTACTCTGGCTTAACAGCACCACACATGTAGACATTGACCCTTTACTGTGGAGCAAATTAGTCAACTCCACAATAAACATCTTGTGTAAATCTGTCCACTATCATCAAAGTTCCAATTATTCCAAAACCACTAAGTGAAGAATACCTACTATTCCTCATGCCAATGTATTTCACCTTTTTCTTGTAAACAAACAAGAGTACTGCATCAATATTGGCTTTTAAAATATATCTCCGTTGATAATATATAAAAATTAAGACTTTTTTGCTATCTTAATGAACATTTACTAATATTGCAGGTAAGGAAATTCAGATCTATTTTTTTGCTTATCACAAGACATATGTTTCTGAAGATGGAAATATTCCTGAAAAAGGGTGGAAGCAGCTGCTGGCAGTATTGCTGGTAAAGTCATTTACTTTGTATTTTTTAGCATTTTATTCTTGATTTCAGTAGTTGAAATGTGTCCATTGTCTGTGACACAGGGGATTGTGTCTTTTCAATGTCAATGTCAATTCATGAAAGTGGCTTCTTGAACTGTGTTGCTAATTATTCTTTTTTATCTCCTCATTGGTTTTACTGATTTTTTTTTTCAGCGGGATGTTTCTTGTATGGCTTGTAAAATGGAACATCTAGTTTTTCTTCAAATATATTCTGGTTCTGCAATCAGAATCTTTGAGTCCACTCCAAAGTTACTTCAGGACTAATTATACATTAAATATATGTGTTTGCAGTTAATAAGCTTAGATACTAGGGGAAAAATCAGTGGAAAAGATTATACCACAGATAATTAATAAAAATCAATTAATTTGTTAATGAGTACTCTGCCAGTACCCAAGGTGGTAGAAACCAGCTGGGGGGGAAAGAAGTCAGTATCCCTGAATAGGACATTGAGAATGCCTGAGTCCTGCTGAGAATTTGAAAGGAAATAACTACAAGAGGCAGCACTACTTGGGTTAAAACTGACTAAATTTCCTCTTGAGATTGCAGCTCCTCTAACTAATAAATCTGGTAAAAAAGTGATTCACCTTTAGTGTATGCTATAAAGCATTTTCTGATGCCTTAAGTACATTGCTCACTGCCCTGTATTAACAACAAAACCCATAGTTGTAAATGTCAATGACTAGGATTGTTAGAGCTCTTGCATCTCCTCGCTTTAGTGTAAAAGCTGGAAACACCCATTACCTCGTAGATGACTTTAGGATAACATTTTGCATTCAGATATATAAATGGCACAAAGTCAAACATGATCTGACAGGAAAATGCAACATATGCCTTCAAAGAGTCCTTGGACTAAAAAAGAAAAGTTCAATGACAATGCTTACACCTTTACAAAAACACTTTTGTAACACAAGACACACATCCTATTGCTACCAGCTTTCTATAATTTACCTATATGCTATGAAACCTATATGCTATGATTTAATCAGAATATATGCAAAAGGAAATAGAACAAGATTTATATACTCCTGTAACACTGTGTGGCTATAATGTATACTGCAAAAAGGGAACACACTAGAATCTGCTTACAATATATATAATTCAGGTTATATCAGTACAGAAATAACTATACTCAGAAAGATTACAACATTGATATCATTAAAAATTAGGGCTCCCTGTATTACCAATAAAAATACAAATCTAAATTTGGTGTGTGTGTGTATATGTATATGTGTGTGTATATATATATAT